ACTTTAAACCTTGACTATGCAAACTCATAGCTTGTCTGTCTCCCCAACTCCTCCCTCCACAGGCTGCAGATCATCCAGAACTCTGCAGCCCGTGTCCTCTCCCGCACTAGGCTCCAAGACACTATCACCCCCATCCTCGCCCAACTCCACTGGCTTCCCATCATACAGAGATACAGTTCAAGATCCTGGTCCTCACCTTCAAAGCCCTCCACGGTCTTGCTCTCCCCCTACCTCTCTGACCTCCTAACCCCTTCCCATTCTGATCACTCCTTCCGCCCAGCGGGCTCTGGCCTGCTTCACGTCTTCCGCCTCGCTCACCCCACTATTGGCGGGCGGGGCTTCTGCCACTCTGCCCCCACCCTCTGGAACTTCATCTCTCTGTCTCGCCCCCTCCCTTGCCACCTTCAAGACCCACCACAAGACCCTCCTCTTCGACCATGCTTTCGATCTCCCTGCTTCCCCCCCTGCCCTTAAGTGTTGACTTAGTTGATTTAGTAGTGAATAGTACTGGAGTCCTGCTGCTCAGATCACATCGAGGAGGTGGTTTCAACATCAGGTCCATTGCACCAAAAGTGTCTTCTGCGAGTTAATACAGTCTTTGTCTTCATTTGTTCCTTAAGCGTTTACAGATGGTCTAATGGACCTCTCTAAAAACATTCAAAAATTTTGTGTGTTATAAAAGAGACAATAAACCCTTAATCCTGCAGCCAGATCAATGCAATGAAGAGTGGAACATATACTATCAATATCTAAGATATAATTTGTTTTTCTCTTTCATATGTACACACGACGTTTAACACAGTAGAGTTAAAATACTAGCTAGGTACAGTCTAGATCTGGCTGCAAACATGCTTTTGACAATCTCAACTGGGTACAAGTAAAAATGGCGATTAACTAAAAGCAGCAGAACAGCACTAGCTATGGTAGTGACTTATATTTGGCTTTTTCTTTTCCAGTATATTCTTCCCACGTGCATCTAAGGAAGCAATTTTATGTAACATTCTTTTAATAGTAAATGAATGATCCATTTTACTAGATTAAAAATGCAGAAAGAGTATTTTCAAAGAGAAGTACAGTGCTAAAGTGTTCTGTTGCCAACAGTTTCATAGAGTAGACTTGAATACAGTTTACATTATTTTATTCAAATGCTTATTATCTAGGAAACTGGTATAATTATAAATAAATAATCCTTGCATTTGACTTGGTGTCTTATCACATCAAAACATCTCAAAGTCACAACCTTTTGACTTAGAGACGAGAGTGCTACCAATTTAGCCAGGCTGATACCTTAGCCCAGGGACAGTAAAGGATAATGTTAAAGAACGAATGCTAATTCCCAATTTATTCCAACTTTCTACTTCACTCAGCCTTTATTACACTATTAGGTGAGAGGGAGAGATGGAAGTCACAGTTTCTTATAAGTTTGTTGACGGTGCCATTGGTTCCTTCTATATAACTAGGTGGAATCCTGTTTTATGCCCATCTGTCTAGGAACATACACAATGCTAAGAATTGAATAACTAGTCCAACTGAGCCACATCTATTCAAATGAAGGACAGCCTTGAAGAATAAATATGTGTCCATCTTTCACTATTCCATGTTCATCTAAACATATTAAATATGATGCAAAGAATACATCTCGTTGTGTTCCATTTCTTTTTATTGGGGGAAGGGCTGTTTAGAGTTTTTTATGTAGATAGATTAAAAAAAACTGAGGAACTTTACCAATCACTGGTGCACAGAAAGGCTCTCCAAGGCTCCTATACCGAACTCCAGTAGATACATGCCTAATGTATTTTAAAACTCTGACCACAAGAGCAAAAATGTACACACGAGTAGTTTTGCAATGAGGAAATAAATAACGGGATGGGAACACCTGTTGGAGAGTGAGATGTCTGAGTGACACTTGCTTCTGGATAATTCTGTTTCCAATATAGAATTGAGATCAATGAATCCTCCCCTCTCTGCTTCTCCATTAGCTATTTCCTGTTACTGGTGTTTTTACTGTACTCATGTCCTGTGATACAGGGGCATATTACTCTTACACTAAAACTATGAAATCGAGTCTGCAGAGATTAGAAAATATATGATCATATCCATCAAAATGTTATCACACAAATTACTCATGTTCCTCCACTGTTAAGCACTCTGGGAAATTACCCTGTGTGAGGGGAGCTGTATAAATGCAAGTTGTCGTTGTTACTCGTATCTAATCCGTCCAGTTACATAACTCACTATAAAATACAAAGTCATTGTGGGCATTTATTTTAAAAAGTCATCAACGTTTATTCGTTAACTTGGTCAGATACAGACTTACAGATCCCCAGAATTTTATCAATCAGTTTGTTACTCAATAGTCACTAAAAAGAAACAAAAATACATGGTTTGTGGATGAATTTATATTTTGAGAAGGTTCCGTTCTGTTCTTTAAATCGTGGGCCTACGACCTCTTCAGTGTTTTCCCCGAAATGAATTCTGTTCTGATGCCAACTTCACATCCTGCCTTCGTGCAAGTATTTAGTTGTTCACTGGATTCCCTCTGTGTGATGCAGATCCCCTGGAAACATAGAAGTAATTGTGGTCAACCACTGGGCTCAGTCGCTAAGATTGTAGCTGTATGCATTTAGGAAAGGAAATGATTTGAAGTTCACATTGCTCTACATTCTCCATGTTTTGTGTGTTCCACTTTAAAAGGAATGCGAATAGTAGGTCAGATTAATATCCAGTGCTGCTTTAGATCATAACTTCAGGTTTAATGCATAGTGAATGATTGTGCTCCTCATGAAAAAAAATGTTTGGCAAACATTTTTGCTTTGGGAATAGAGAAGACAATGCCTTGTTTTTGTTCTGATGATACCCCACACAAGTACTGGAGTGAAATGGTCAAAATTATTTACATTGTTGATCTGCATGTGAGCAAAACAAGGCTTTCAGTCAGAGGTTGTTACCCATTTAAGTTGAGAAGAACAGTTTTGATGCAGTGTTATTTATAACACACTTTCTTCTATCATATGGAAATACGTAGTGATAGACCTGATGAAGTAAAATAATACCTGAAAAGACAGTTATTTCATTTGAAAGGTTTCAGATGGTTTAACCTTAGTGACTATACAGCCTTTCTTATCTTGCCACAGTATATATTTGTTGATTATTTATCTGGCCACAAAGCAAACGGTTCCCACCTGGAAGTGCTTTACTTAATTGCTTTACTCAATCAAAATGCTTCCTTTCATTTAGATATGTTTTGCTAGTGTCAGCATTTTGCCCCTTAGGTAGGTCAAAATGGACACAATAAACAATTCTGACTCAGTTGCTATGCAACTGGAAAATGGCAAATCTCCATTGAATGATTCAATAGAAATACTGTATGCATGTCTTTGGTGACAGGGGGAGGGCAAGGGAAGGAAAGGTAATTTAGTTTTGTCCATAAAGTACACAAGACTAATCCATGTCCCCAATTTATATCACTCTACAAACAGCTTATTTACGTCCATCCTATTGAACCCTTTCATAATTTTAAACACCTCTTATAAGGTCTCCTCTCAAATGATAATAATAATCCTTGCATTTGATATAGCATCTTTTCACATCTTCTAGACGTCTCAAAGCGCTTCACAGAATATACTGTAAAGTGAATTGACTGTATATTTTGTGAGCGAAACGCGGCAGCCAATTGCGCACAGCAGTGTCCCACAAATTAGTCGTGGATTAAAGAAGAAAAGCTCTATTAACCTGTCCCAATTGTTCTTGATAATTATATCCTCTTATCTCTGGTAATATCCTATTAAGTCTACTCTGCATTCTCTCCATTGCTTCATTCTCCCTCTCCCTTCACCTGAATCGCTACACAATGAATTCCAAGTTTTAGCCAGGACACGTCAGGCTAAGTGGCTCTCCATGCTTTGGAAGAAGTCATTCCACTCTATTCTTGCACACCTCCTAGCAGCTGGCATTGGTATGTTGGCAGAAACCACTTTACCAATGAATCACTTTGTTCTGTCACACATCAAAGCAAAAAGGGTTGAGGCAAGAAGCTTTAAAACATAGTGATTTAAAAAAACATAAACATGATTATGTTTTACAATCACAATGCAAACTGTTGATAAAATATTTTTAAAAATGTAGTATGTTTATGTTGTACAGAGTGCTTACCAAATTTTATTAGAGAAAGGAGATAGTAACAGTGATAGGCAAACATTTCAAATCTCTGAACCATCTGTGCTTTTGTGCAGCTGAGTCAGAAACAATTTCCCTTAATAAAATCCAATCTCATGGTATGTGTGTAGGATGCAACTGAACAAACCACTGACATTTTCTATTTCTTTAAAATGAACTAGTGCCCTCAGAAATTTCAGTATCTGAGAGCAACCAGTATTTTCTGATTTCCTCTCTCAATGTGCCTGATTAATTTATGCTTGAATGCCTGAAGGGTTTGTTGTAGCAGCAGCTCAGTATCAAACTGTGAAGTTTGAGAAACTGTAGTGTGGGTGGATCAAGCCAAAGACTTTCCTCCTCTTTTCCCTTGATATTGTATTAGGTGCTAAAATCCCTATCTATTTGGTTTGTTAGTGAAATTGCAATTTGATATCTCTGGTGAAAATGATCATACGACCAAAAGCAGTGAATAGATATCACTGGCTTTGGGGAAGGAAAAGGATTCACCTCCAAGGCAAGTGATATCTATTAACTGCACTTTTAGTCAATGTGATAATTAGTGTATCATCATTGATTTAATAACCTGCTACAATTTTGAATCCACATAAAGTACATTTACCGCACAGGGCTGTGTGTCCAGGTACTACATTAGTGAGATATTAAACTGAGTGTCTTGTCTGTTTAAATCGTGTGGATATTAAAGATCACATGGCATTAATCATGAAGAGTTTCTCCAAGTGTGTTGGCCAGCAATCCTCTAGATAAAATTCTTCATTCACTCTTTGTGGGACGTTGCAATCAATTTTCACATTTTACAATATTTATTGTTGATCCATTTTTCACAGGCTCATAATGTGCTGAGAAGATTTGGTTCGGTGGAGACGCGTGATTATCTTCTACATCCTTCGAGGAAGATCTTGGCTTCAGCAGTGGTCTATAGGAACCGCAGAGGTGGGACTTGTACAAGGCCATTTCTCCATGAAGCTACGCCTGAACTCCGTGGCACTCTGCACGGGACTGCTGTTTCTGACCACGTCACTGGTGCTCTGCTAGAGGCTATCACATCCATCGGGGCGAGGAGTGTGCTTCTCAGTCCTTTAGGGGGAACCACTGGAAGAGCGATGCTTAAAGGTAAGCACTGAGGGAATTTTTTTTTCCAACTGAAAAAAAGATGCTGAGACATAATTAATGAGCTTTAATGGTATGATTTTGAAAAATATAGGAACACTTGTATGAATAGCAATTGTTCAAAGGTTTCAAAAATAGTGTGAAAAATAGTGTGTAGTAACCACTTGTTAATTGCTTTCCACCTTATTGTCCTCAATAACACTATCCAGTCCCATTTAACTGTACCTTCTAATTTCAGTATAATCTCACATTGGTAGCAATCACTCTTGACTTATCTCCATGTTTTCACTGACTCCTGTCATCATCTGCTGTTTTAGATTTTGGTTGCTATGCAACATGTTACTATCCTAAAGACCATGATGGCGACATTTGGTCTGATTTTCCATGGTGCTGACACAAACTTGGGCACAACATCTGATGATAATGCATCCAATTCACACTTGAATGTGAACTATCATGTTTCTCCCCCTCTAAGTGAATTCCACTTCTTGAATGAGGCACCACTTCATCAGACATTTCATTTGATGTGATGGGGAAGGAAAAGTAATAGGGAAGACTGTAGAAATCATTCTGCTCTATGTTCTTTCTGTACTGAATGTTTGCTTGTGTGCATCAACAACTTGCACTTAAATAGCACCTTCCACGCAAGGTAGGGTCTCAGAGCGCTTAAATAAAAGGCATGCAGATAAACAAATCGCGGTAAACAAATCTCCCAAAAACATATATATAATACGTTTGTTCTTTTTGGATAGACCAGTTTTGAATTTGTTTTGAAAAATAGTTTATGCTCCAATAAAATAAGCTTTTTCTTAACCTTATTTGGGCATGTGTTTAAAATGCTTAATGCCAAACATCGAATTAGTGCCCACCCTAAGGTTATTTGTGGTCAAATTGCTTTGTGCAGCAGTGTGCACAGAGACTGATAGTATTACTTGGCTGGTTGAATTTTGCAGTTTTGTCAAATTTCAACCTGTGTTGCTTTACAATCAATTTCAAAAATGTTCCTTAATGTTGAACAAAAACAAATAATAAACAAAATCTTCATTGGTATGATAAAGTCAAAGACAATGGTTATCACAGCATCTGAGAGTCATTTTCCATAGTATACTGTGCCAACTCTACATGATTAAAGCTTTCAGCTATAGCTCTTGCACAAAGATTTGTTTACATAACAAAGAGACATTGACTGTAATTAACCTGCAATTCCCAAAGTTATGCTTTTAAGCATATAAGAACGTTCCAATTAATAGATAAAGGATCTTGGCACTTCATTTATAGCCAATGTGCTATTCCCACCTGTATTGTTATACAGTGGAACACGATTGAGTGCAAGGCAGCACAATCTTTTTGCAGTGACTTTAAGTGGCAAGGCCTTCTTCTTATTCAGTTGCTGGTAAAGCTCATTGATAAATGCTTGCATCCATTCGTTATCAACTGTTTAGTGAAGGTGATTGATCACTCCTGCATTCTGTGGCAGGCCATTTATCAGACTTTATGTAAAGCTGCTGAGAGTAAACTGTAAATTGGGCTGTTGCTAAGCGTTTTTCTAATATTTTTAGATTTTGTTTCAACTGAAAATGTGCTCAAGGGCAACATATCTTGTTTTGGATTTGCCTCAAAATGCAAGTTTTTTTTTATAGATAAACATAAGATCACCTCAGCTTTACTAAAAGAATATAGCTGAAATGAATTGATCGTTCTCTGGAATTTAACTGTCTTTGGATAGTGTATACAACTTTAATTTTAATTGTTCAATGGTAAATTTGAGAAACATTTCCATCCATGCAGTCTTTGTTGCAGTTCCAATGATGTTAAGCATAGGTATTTCTAATTTAAACACTGTTGGGTGGTGCATTCTCTGACTGAAAAGATAACATCATTGGAACATACAGTATTATCCAATGGAACTAATGTGCAGGAGTATGGTTCAGGAGATTTTATACTAGCGGATGTTAAGGTTGAGTGGAATGTAGCACATCCAGTGCAGTCTGGTCTAAGGTATAGCTGACGTGTGATAATAAGTGAATGTATGCAATTATAACAACAACAACTTGCATTTATATAGCACCCTTCACACCAGACGGCGTCTCAGAGCACTTAACAGTGGCAGAACCACTGTTACCTATTACCCAAAGTAAGGGACTTTATAATAGCAACATTTGCATTATTATTACACTAAAATTGTTTTGGATTAATTCAGTAGGTAGGACAATATAAATATACTTTTAGTACAATGCAGTATACTTGTTTTACTCGGTATTTGAGTTTAACTGGTGAGATTTAATGCATTCTCGTAGATATCTGCATTATGTGAATGCTGCATTACATTATGGGGAGTGTTTCCAGTAAAATATACTGGGTGATATTGTAGCTGAAGAAACCGATTGATGAAAGGAATGTTTGATTGTCAGATCTGCAAAATTCCATCTGTAATTTACGGCATTTCTTAAAACAAATTCCAAATAAGAAATATGTGATCACTAAATTTCTAAAACATTGAATATAGAATGCATTCTTCATATTCCAATGTTTTAGAAATTCAAATTCAAGAAATTTGATCTGAAAACAATGGACCATCCGATAACGTTTAAGGGTGCATTTTTAAAATGATCTGCAGCTGGAGGCAAGCCCACAAATCATCTCAAGCTTGAAATTGCATTTTGTGTAAAAGATTTCAAGGAATAGTATTCCTTTGCAAAGATCCTGTGTATCGGCTGAAGGTTAAATGGAACATCCCCTGGATTCTTTGACACAGCTATTATTGAATGAGAATAAATGATTCGGTCAATGAACACATGCCGCATTGTCAGCAAGTGTCCTTGCCCTTGAACAAGAGCATCACAGTATCTCGCAGAATTGCTCTAAGGCTGAAAGACAAAGACTTAAATCAAAGGACCTTTCCAGTACCTTTAATCTATTTTACATTTGCAATCTATATAAAGCAAAACACATTCAACAAGGTGCGAATTCCAATTTTAAGACAGAAGTATGTTTTGGTCGTTAAAAGTAGCCTTCTGTCCTGAGCCTTGTACTAGCTGATAACAATTTATTTAAATGAAAGTGGCACTAGTAGAAGCTATGGCATTTATTCCCTAGTGTCTAATTTCTGGTACTCTTGAGCACGTGAACTTATAATAGAAACTGAAGTAATGTTTCCTGTAGAGTGGCGTCGGAGAGGCAAGGAGTGTGCATGACTTTCCTTATGTATGGACTTGCTGCGATTCATAATAAGGGTAACATTAACTAAAGCAAAGATCACAATTGGCAGTGTGTCATTCCTCTTAACAGCCTGCTTGTGTAAAATGCACTGACAAGTCGTGCTGAACCATGACACACTTTAGAATGGCAGATACTTCTAAACAGTTGTGTCTTGTTTGACCCTCAACTATCCTTCATATCCCACATACATGCCATGTCCCGCTCTGCTTTCCCCCACATCTGCAACATTTCCCGGCTGCGCCACTGTCTCACACCGCAGGCCGCCGAGACTCTCAAATACGCATTCATAACATCCAGGCTTGACTACACAAACTCCTTGCTTGTTGGCTTCCCAAACTCCTCCCTCCATAGACTGCAGATCATCCAGAACTCTGAAGCCCGTGTCCTCTCCCGCAACATGACACTAAACTAGGTGGGAGAGTAAGCTCCGAGGATGATGCAAAAAGATTACAACGGGATATAGATAGGCTAGAGGAGTGGGCGAGTAGGTGGCAGATGGAATTTAATGTGGGGAAGTGTGAAGTTATTCACCTAGGTAGAAAAAATAGAAAAACAGATTATTTTCTAGAGGGGGAGAGATTAGATAGTGTTAGTGTTCAGAGGGATTTGGGTGTCCTTGTACATCAGTCTCAAAAAGTTATTTTGCAGGTGCAGCAGCAACTAAGAAGACGAACGGCATGTTAGCGTTCATTGCAAAAGATTTAGAGTACAAGAGTAGGGAAGTCTTGCTGCAACTGTATAGGGCCTTGGTGAGACCACACCTAGAGTATTGTGTGCAGTTTGGTCTCCTTATTTGTCCTAGAGGGAGTGCAGCGTAGATTCACTAGATTAGTTCCTGGGATGAGGTGACTGACCTATGAGGATAGGCTGAATAAACTAGGGCTATATTCTCTAGAGTACAGAAGAATTAGGGAAGATCTGATTGAAACATATAATATTCTTAAAGGGCTGGATAAAGTAGACACTGAGGGTCTGTTTCCCCTGGTAGGAGAATCTACAACCAGGGGTCACAGTCTTAAAATTAAGGGTCAGCCTTTTAGAACAGAGTTGAGGAAACATTTCTTCACTCAGAGGGTAGTGAATTTATGGAATTCCTACCCCAGAAGGCTGTAGGTGCTCAGTCCTTGAACATCTTCAAGGCTGAGACTGATAGATTTTTAAAAAACAGAGCGATAGGGGGATATGGGGATAGGGCAGGTAATTAGAGTTAGGTCTGAAGATCAGCCATGATCTTATCAAATGGCGGGGCAGGATGAGGGGCCGAATGGCCTACTCCTGCTCCTAATTCTTATGTTCTTATGTTCTTAACAGGCTCTGTGACCTTATCACCCTCATCCTCGCCCGACTCCACTGGCTTCTCATCACATAGAGGATACAGTTCAAAATTCTGGTCCTCACCTTCAAAGCCCTCCATGGCCTTGCTCCCCCCCCTACCTCTGCGACCCTCTGCTTTTCAGGTCTTCTAGACATCTCAAAGCACTTCACAGAATAGACTTTAAAGTGAATTGACTGTGAATTCGAAAGTGAAATGCGGCAGCCAATTGCGCACAACAGTGTCCACAAACCGTTGTGGATTGAAGTGACCAATTTATTATCGTTTTTTTGTGGGATTATTATCAGGCATGTGGAGTAAGGAAACCTGCCTAAGGTTTCACCGTGCTGGGAATCGAACCCAGGTCTCTCTCTTGCAAAGCAAGCGCTCTAACCACTGAGCTACAGGACTCCACGTCAAGAGTCCACGTCAAGGGTCCTTCAAGACCTGTCTCAAGACCTTCCTCTTCAAC